CAAAGGTTGCCGGTAGTTTTAATAATTACTCTTGGATGACTATCAAGTGGAAGTGTCCTAGATAAACTGAGAAGTATAGTCACCCCTTACATAACTAAATTTTCTTTGGTTGAAAACAAACAAGAAAACAATTTGGAAATTATACCTCAGGCTCAATTAATTAAGTCTTATTGGTTTAAAAGTAATTGTCAGATGAATATTTAAGCAATTATAAGCTCTAAGAATAAGAGCTAACACTGAGAGCTAGGCCACTGTTCTAAATATTTCACACACATTAAGTAATTTAATCTTCAATTAAGAAATTATGAAGTAGGTATTAATAGGAATATTTGTCCCACTTTATAGTGAAGGAATATAGAATATGTTAAAGTGACACTCTCAAAGTTAGTTGTTGATTATGCTGGTGCTAGAGTGAGAACTCTGATCTAGGTTTTTGTTTCCATAGTTAATGTCCCTATATATACTCTATTGCCTTTTACACTCTTAAGTCCTGGCTTGCTTGCCTCTTACATTTGAATTTCAGATGAATGATGGATAACTTTTTTAGTACAAGTGAATCCCATGCAATGTTTGAGACAACCTTTGCCATATCCTCTTAGCATGGCATGATCGGAGTCCCCTGATGTCTACGTGTGGGCCAGTACCCCAGAGCACCTGCTGAAGTGCTCTATAGGTTGCAAAACTGAGGGCTGTGCTCTCAGCAGGGCTCATCATCTTAAACCAGAATCAGTTCTGACTACACTGCTGGTTATGCAGCAGATGCTGAGTCTCAGCCTCATCCTTTGCCCACCTGGAAATACATATTTGAATATTTATATGAGCATTATAAACATCAAGAACTGCCTTAAGAATATTTAAGAATAAAACATTAACTGAATTGACCTAGAAAAAAAACCTTAATTCAAATGAAAAAAAAAAAAGTTTTGTTTGCCTATATTTTTGAGCAAGAAAGGCAAAATTCTACTGTCATGTTGTTTCATCACAAGTCACAAATGATCTCTAGTATGTATTAGAATTCCTATAAAGAAAATCTTGGCGAGTTTTTAGCAACACTTAAAATGCTGAGCAGTCTTTGTTCTTCCATTAAGTTATAATTGTCCTCATTGGCTGACATCTAAGAACATACCTTACAACTTGAAAAGCAGGAAAGCAGTTGGAGTACCATCTATAAATTCTGGGTTCCAACTCCAGCTCTGCATGTAATTATCAGAGCCTTAGTTTCCATATTTCTAATACTGGACACCCAGCTGAAAGCACTTTTTAAACTACTTAGCATTCAACATCTGAAAAACTGTATCTTCTTATAGTTCTCATGTTTTCTTCAGGAATCTTTCAGTTGCACAAAGTTCTTTTGAAATTCAAATGAAAAGTGGTAAGTAAAACATAGAATAACTATAAATGTAATTCRAGTTTAACCATTCCAAAGGCCATCTTATAATCTTAACTTTAGTTGACTTCTGTCTCTATCCATTTAGTGGACTGAATACTGACCTCCAAAAGATATATTCAATTGGAACTTCTGAACATGAATTTATTTAAAAATAATCTTTGTAAGACTCTCAAGTATCTTGAAATGAGATCATTCTGGATCTAGATTGGGCCCTAAGTGCAATGATGGACATATCTGTAAGGGAAGGGCAGAGGGAGACTCAAGATACAGGGGCATGGGGAGAAGGCCATGTGAAGACAGAGGCAGAGACTGGAGTTATTTTGGCACCAGCTAAGAAACATTGAGAGTGATCAGGAGCTAGAAGAAACACAAAAGTATTTTCCCTTAGAGCTTCTGGAGAGGTCTTGCTGATTTTAGACATCTGGCCTCCAGAACTGGGGAAGAATACTTTTCTATTATAACGGATTGGCTATAATAATTTTTTTGCGGTGGTCTAAGGAAATCAATAAAATCCACATCTAGTCCACCAATAAATCATGGCAATTCAATCTTCAAATATGCCTGGACCATACACTGCCTCTATGCCATTAATTACTCTAAGCCACCATGGTCTCATTACTGGAGACCTTCCTTAGTCCCTGAAAAACCCATCACAACAATTGGAGTGTGATTAAAAACTGAAATCAAATCTTGTTGTTATTGTCCGAAAACACTCCATGTACTTCCCATTTCTTCCAGAATCTAACCCAAATGGCTTTATCGTGTCTAGAAGACTGGATATGATCTCACCTGTGCTCTCTCTGTCCTCTTATCACTCCACTTCCTGCACTTTCTTGCTGTTTATCACTAGTGCCAAGCACACTGACCTCAAGTATTTGCATGATCTCCCTTCTGCCAAATAACCACAGTCTATTTCATGGCAGGTCCCTGCTCAAAACTCTCTTCTTGAGACAAGTCTTGCCTGTTTGTCCTGTCCTAAATGGCTTACTCCAATTACTATAGCCAACACTCTATTGTCTTTTCTTATTTATGTTCCTGTTTATAGTCTCTCTCTCTCTTACTAGGACAGCTACCTAAGTGTCAAGACTTGCCCATCTTGCTCATTGCAGTGTTTCCAGTACCAATGCTCAGCAATTGCAGCCACTAATAAATAATTGTTGAATGAATGAAGGAACCAATGTACCTTGTTATAAAGGGTGTGGGCCAAAGAGGATGGAGATGGTATCTACTTTCAGCACTACTCCAAACAGAACTTTCAAGAAAGTAATCTAGAAGGCCACCTACACACATTCTCAGTGAACAGGATAAGAGGCACCACCAAAGGGACCAACCCATTGTAGTTACAAAGCCAGATATAGAGTGAGAGCATTGTTAAGTTGTACTAGTTTTCAGTGGGGTATTTTATAATATTTATGGCTGTCATGTTCAAGAGATCTAAGAATTGATTCCTGAAGAAAATTTGAGGACTATAAGATGATACAGTTTTTCATATGTTGAATGCTAAGTAGTTTAAAAAGTGCTTTCAGCTAGGTGTGGTGGTGCATGCTTATTATTACCGAAACTTGGGAGGGTGAGGCAGAAGGTTTGAAAGTTCAAGGACAGCCTCAGCAACTTAGTGAGGCCCTAAGCAATTTCGTGAGATTCTGTCTCAAAATTGAATAAATAAATAAATGAATGACTAAAAAGGCCCTGGGGATGTGGCTCAGTGGTTAAGCATCCCTGGGTTTAATCCCCAGTACTAAAAAAAAAAAAAAGAAAAGAAAAGAAAATTATTTGATTCTGTTACTTGCCTGAGTTAGTGATGGCAGATAATATTACTCCCATTTTACAGATGAAAATATGGAGACCAAATGACCTGTATGAGTATTCACAACTATACAATTGGCCTATGGGCAGTCGAAGACCCAAATCAGGACTTCTGGTTTCAAAATCTTATTTCCTTACATTCATTGATTTACTTAAAAGTTTATCACTGAATAACTGTTTCAGGAACTCCTTTAGGTGCAGCATATAAGGATAAAAATGTCAAGCTGGGCATGGTGGTGCAGGCCTGTAATCCCAGTGGCTGGGGAGGCTAAGGCAGGAGGGTCAGGAGTTCAAATCCAGCTTCATCAATTTAGTGAGACCCTAAGCAACTCAATGAAACCCTGTCTCTAAGTAAAATGATGATGATGATGATGATGATGATGATGATGATGATGATGGGGATATTGCTCAGTGGTTCAATCCTTGGTACCAAAACCAACCAAACAAACATACAAAAAAATGCCGGGGTCCGGCTGCAGCAAAATAACCGGGGGGGTGACGAATAACTTCTGTAGATTGATGCAGCAGGAATAGGAGCCTATTGTAGGACAACAGAGCTATTTATACATTTTGCACAGCTTATCTTAATTAGCATAAACTAGATACATCAATCAACCAATAAGGAATCTCCACACTTAATGGCTCACTTTTGTTACTTCTCAAACCACTCCCTCTGACATTTTGCCAGGCACCATCCAGACTTGTTTATGAACTCTAACATTTCTCTGGCAAAATACCAGGTGTTATTTTTGACTTATTTACAGACCTTAACAAAAAAAGTCAATAATCTTTGTCTTCTGGTAGTATGAGCAAACAGTAATTGAAGATTACAATACAATTCAAGAAAAAAAAAAGTGTTATCTTGAGCAAGTAGCCACAATTAATCACGAAATCGAAAAAATTAAATTTGGAATTCGGCAACTAAAAGATTCCACTGGAAGGGAGAAACTGAAGTCCCAGGAAATATTTCTAAACTTGAAAACTGTCTTGAATAACCACCATAAAGGCATTGAAATGGCAGCGGAAGAGCGTTATACTAGGATAAAAAAGGCAATTGAGTTGAAGAGGGGGATGTTCATAATTTCCACCTGCTGGCACAGTTATGAGTCTTTTTAAATGGCTTGAGGTCTTGAGTTTATGATTGGGAAGGGAATTGTCTAGTTGAAGCTACAGGGAGTATCAGAAATTACAAAGATTGTTCCAGCAGTTTTTATATATTCTCAAAGTGATCATTTTATAAGATGTGCATTTAATGTAGACTTCCGTTAATTTATAATCAAAATAACTAACTTGTGCAGCTAAGGAAACAAAATCGTCTTCGCTTTTTCAACTGGAAAAAAAAAAGTGCAATATACGTACTTGGGGGAAAAATCAGCACAGTAAATGACACCCTTCTCCCCCTCCCCCTGCTCCATTCCCAAGTCCCTTTTTCCCATCGYTGCTACGAATAAGTTCCCTCTATCAGGAGCAAGGTCCTTTCTGAAGGTGGGGACTGGACTTGATGGCGCTGGCTGACTCATCTCCATTCTGTGGGCGATTGTGGCACAGGTTGAGCTACCCATGGTAGCAAGGCTGCCGTTCGCGGTGTGGGGGCTGCGGAGGGGAAATTTATGGGGGACCGTCCTACAGTGGGCAGGAACAGCCAAAACTCAGCGGTCCGGAGGACCTTCGGACGGAGAGAAAGGGCCGGGGCTCCAGTCAGCCTGGAGCGCGGGGCGGGGCGGCCSGGCGCGGGGCGGGGCGACGCGCGGCGACGTGGCACCGCAGGGGCGCGCGCAGCCGGGGGCCATCTTGGAGGCGGGGACGCGCGGAGGTGAGCTTTGGAGTGCATCTTCCTTGTGTTCTCCAGCCACAGTTCTACACCGTGACCTCCCTATTCCCCACTTTGTGCCTGTCACACACACGCTCGCTCGGGACCCCAGGTGAGTGTCACCCCTGCAGCTACGCACGTGCACGAGGACGGTGGTGTGGGATGCTGGCGCCAAAGCGGGACTCGGGTCGCGCCTCGGGGAGGTGGGCGGGCCGCCGGCGCTGCGGGATGCGGGGGTCGTTTCCCAGGCCCCCCTGGTAGCGCCGGTGGAGCGCCGCGGTGGGAGCTTGCGGTGTGTAGCCGGCAGGGGCACGCGTCACTAGGAGTGAGTCCCCACCGCGGATTGCACGGTGCTTGCGGTTCGGGGGGTGAGGGGTCTCTTCTCGGACATTGCTTCCGTCCTGGGCCGAGGTTGCAGCCTCTGGACAGCTGACACCACCTTCCATCGAGCTGGCCACAGGAAGAGACCGGCGGCTGGCGCCTACGGACCTTAKCCCGGCCCTGCCCGGCCTGGGGACGTGGCAGAACCTGGAGGATGGCCGCCGACTCCTGAAATAGGATTTCGGTCTCTGTGGCCCTGGAGAGTTTGAGCGTTAACCAACCGGGACTGGCATTGGGAGAAAGCTTATTTTACCCCGATGTTCTCTTGTAGGTATCTACCGCTGCTCCAGAGGGCTTTTGCACTCTCCCTTTGTTTGATCTTGGGACCCGTTTCAGTCAAATTTGTAGAATAGCCAGTTTCCTAGATTGGCAGAATATATGCCCAGGAGAGTTTTTTTTTTTTTTTTTTTTTTTTTTTGTCAAAAGTAGTTGTTTTGAGAGACAACATGTACATTTCTGCGATCGTGACACATTTTGGCATTCCAGCCCTGTGCAGACACTATTTCAGTCAGTGAACATTTAGGGGAGTTAATTTTAGGAACTGAGCTTAGAATGTGGAGAAAACACAGTGCTTTAGTGCTCACTGGTAGTAGAGGCAATTATGTGGCTCTTAGTACCTCAAAAGTAATAATGTTTTTTAAGACTTTAAAGTTCATCAAAGCTCTATTATTCCATTTATTTTCTTACAGGTAGTTATCCACTTTTAAAAAAAAAACAACCAAAAAACAAACAAGGCCCAAGGAAATTAGAGTAGCAGAATTTGGGAAGAGACTGAGGACTCAGTTGTCGAAACCATTCCCATTATATTGTCTTGCATCTCGATATATTAATACTATTACTTTTTTCCCCTAAAAGCTTTACCAACTGATGTCTCAATGTTATTTTATCATGATAGTTTTTTTTAGTAGAAGTTATGATATTAAAAATTTACACCAGTATTCCCATTAAACCTTTTCTCAACTAGTAAAGCTTTTTAATGCAATGACTTTGTGTTCATTCTACAAATTCTTTTGCCAATGCATTTGCTAATGTTTGGGATCAGCATTGTGTTAAAATACAACCTCCACTACTCATTGTAAGAATTCACTTATGTTGTAGGAAGAGGAATGACTGATGAAAAAAATGATGAAGAATTATGGGAAGTGATAAGACCCCTGGAGGGGCATTTCTGTCTCAGGTTACTTTACCTCTGGATATAGGTATGGAATGAAAGAATTTACCTCCCTGTCATATGTTAGTGCCATAGATCTTTCTTCTTTGTTCACAGCCAAACTTTTTACCAGGATTGAATTTAGGGGCACTCAACCATTGAACCACATCCCCAGTCCTATTTTGTACTTTTTTTTTAGAGCCAGGGGTGAGTTGCTTGTTGTTTAGGCTGGCTTTGAACGTGCAATCCTCCTGTCTCAGCCTCCTGAGCCACTGGGATTACATGCCTGCACCCTGCCACAGCCAAACTTTTAGTTAAAGTATTGTTATTTGTCACACCCCACCCCTCCAATCTTCAATCCAATTCAAACTAGTTTCTATCTCCACTCTTTCTTTGAAAACAGCTCTTATCAAGTTCATGGCTAATTTGCAATTCATGAACCTTTCAGATAGTGTTCTTTTTGGCTTCTGTGCAGTATTTAATACTGTTATTGTGCCTTGAAACACTCTTTTGTCATTTGGACGCCACAGTCTCCTTATATTCTTATTTTTCTGACCATCTCATTTTCTGCATATTGATTTACTACCTAACTAAACAAATTAAATATAAAGTCACAGTCTTTTCTTAGATAATCTCATCTCAGAACATGATTTTAGATCAGTACATTGATGACACCCAGACTTGTGTGGTCTCTGCACTCCAGACCAACTCCATGTCCCTGCGTGGATGTATCAAGGAGTTTGAACTTAGCATGTCAAAAACAAAACACCTTGTGATCCCAACCCTCTTCCTCCAAAGACAACATCAGCTTTGACTTCTTAAAGTGTTCCTCATCCAATTTTGCAAACCATGCCTCTTCCCCATCTACATCACCAGTCATTGAGTTTTACCACCTATACATTTATTTTTTATAATATTTTTTAGTTTTAGGTGGACAAAATATCTTTATTTTACATTTATGTGGTGCTGAGGATCAAACCCAATGCCTCGTGTATGCTAGGCGAGCGCTCTACCACTGAGCCACAACCCCAGCCCTACCACCTATATATTTCTTAAATCCATCTAATTTATCTCCATCATCATCCCCTTTGTCTAGGCTAGAGTTTCTCAATCTGCCACTACTAACACTTGGGACCAGATAATTCTTATGGATGGGTTGTATATTGAGGGTTTTTTCACAGTATCTGTAGCCTTTACAAACTAGATACCAGCAGTACCCCTCTGGTGATGATAATCAAAAAATATCTGCAGATGTTGCCAACACATCCCTACTGGGTAGTGCATAATCACCCCCTCCTTGTTATGAGAATCAGTATTCTGAGTTATTGGCACCTCCTATTTGAACTACTTCTGTGTCTCTCTGAGTAGTCTCTGCTTTGTCTGTGAGATGGCCTAGTCTGCATACTTTTCAGTACACAAATAATGAATTTTTAGTAACCGGAATCAGTGTAAATGTCCTTCATCAGGTAAATGGATACACAATGACACATATGCAATAGAATACTATTCAGTAATGAAAAGTAGTTCATGTTACATACAGCAACTTGGATGAATCTCAGAGGCATTATGCAAGTGAATATAAAAACAGGTGAAATTGAAATAAGGCCTGTAGGTTAGTAAATAGTCTGTACCAATGCCAATTTCCTGGTTTGATAATAACATGGTTATTTAATAACGTTTTGCTGTTATTGAGAGAAACTGGCTTTGGGATACTGAAAAACTCTACTAGTTTTGCATCTTCCTATGAATTCAAAATTTCAAGGAAGTTAAAAGACAAATATGCTATGTCCAGCTTGAATGCTGTATAGTGACATTCTGTTCTTTAAACAAAATAAAGTTCTTCTTCTTAACCTGGCTGATAGGACCCAACACAGCCTTGACTCCTGCTTCTCTCCAGTCCTCATTCTTTTTTTTTTTTTTACCTTTGCCACACAGGTTTTTTTTTTTTTTTTTTAGAGAGAGAGAGAGTTTTTTAATATTTATTTTTTAGTTCTTGGCGGACACAACATCTTTGTTTGTATGTGGTGCTGAGGATCTAATCGGGGCCGCACGTGTGCCAGGCAGGTGAGCTACCACTTGAGCCACATGCCCACACAGGTATTCTTGAATGTGTCTTGCCCACTTTACCTTACCTTGTATTTAGACCTATGTTCACTGTAAACTGGCTTCTCTGTCCCTTCTCTGTCCCCTTCCTTGCCATTTTTGTAGTTCTGCCCTGTTGTAGTCAGATCTCAGTTCTGTGACTTCTTTGGGGGACCCTTTTCCTGGCTTCCAAGTCAAAATCATATTTCTGTCAAACAGCTCTTCCTACCCTCATGGTACATAATTCAGACTACATAGGTACATTGGTATTATTGTATTGTATAGGTGTCATTGTATATTGGTGTTATTATTTGATTGTGTAGAGATACCAATATAGTGCTTAGGAAGCAGTCGACCTTTGTTGAATGTCTGTTACATTAATAAAAACATTAAAAACAAATTAGGCATGTTTAGAGGTTGGTTTATACTTGAGGTGAACTTTAAGATTTGTGAAGGAAGTTTTCCTATGTTTTATAATTATTATCATCTGTTGGGAGTCTGCTCTCTAGTGGCTTTTTTTTTTGGTAGTTAACATTTCTAAAACCTGAGACATATCATTTAGCTGTTACTAAGTGTCCTTTACAATGTGAACTAGGGAAATGATAAATGAATGCATTTACCAAGTTAAGCACATTGTTAACATAAAATGTTAAAGAGTTGTGGGAAGAGATTAATACTTTATCAAGTCAAACATATTTAGAAATTTTTGTAATGTTAATTGATGCAACCTAAATAGACTGCTTTTTGAGGGAAGAAGATGGATTTCAAAGTTACATCAAGTGTTTTATTTTTATTTTAAATAAAATAGTGACCAGAATCTAGGCATAACTTTAATATGTATTCATGTGGCAGAAAATAAGACAGTGGTGGCAATTTGCTACTTGAAATGTTGGTTATATAGTTAACATAAAATATTTTCTAACTATAAAGTACGTGTGGAAATATCACAGATTGTTTGCATAGATAATTTCGTAGACCTTGTTCTTAGGAATTTTGAGAAGTCTGTCATCTGTAAATAAGTTATATTATAAATAGTAAAGGCAGACATTTGTCTTTTAATGATTACTCTTTCTCTAACTATGTAAGCTTTAAAAGTATAATTTTGGTTACTGTGTAAAATTTATTACATTTTTGCAGCATACCATTGTTGAAGAAAAATGATGGAAGAAAGTGGAATAGAGACAACACCGCCTGGGACTCCTCCACCGAATCCTGCAGGACTGGCTGCTGCCACCATGTCTTCTACCCCTGTTCCTATAGGTACATGTGTTGTCTCATACTTAGTGTGGTTTTTTTATTTGTTTGTTTTTGGTGCTGAGGATTAAACTCAGGGACTTGTGCATGTGAGGCACTCTACCAACTGAATTATATCTCCAGCCCTTACCTAGTGTGTTTTGAGTAAAATGAAGATACTGTTATCTTTTCTGAATCAATTAAAAGAAGAATATATTAAACTTTTCTGTAATTTTTGTCAGGATGAAAGAAAATAGCCTTTTTTAAATTTAAAGAATGGAAAGAAATAGTCTTACTTTATTGCTATTTTAGAAAATACCAATATTTTATATTAGGTTGACTTTTGTTCTTTTATATTCATATTGACTACAAGTCATCTTTTTTACTATGATAGAAATGTCCTWAAAAGCATGTATTTTCTTTGTCTGGTGTTCAGTGACTTTGTGGTGATTTTTTGAGTTTTCTGTGTGTAGGTTTTTATCTATAAACCAGGGGTGAAAAATAATTTTATTTTATTCAAAATATACTAAAAAGGACAGCTCTACTTGCTAACAATGCCATAATGCATAATGCCATAATGCTGCTTTTAGTTAGGGGAGTTGACAGTCATTTGCGCTCGATCATATTTGTTGTATATCTTAAATTACACATTTTAATTCTTGGGATATGGTCTGTTAAATTAAAAAATTTTGCAAGACACTAATAAGAGTTTGATGACTAAATAAAAAGGATTTTCAGTTTTGTGATTTTTATCCTCTCCACTTTTTTTCCAGCTGCATCCAGTTCTTTTTCTTCTCCTAATGTGTCTGTGGTGGACTCCTTGCCACCACAAGTCTATCCTACTCCTCCACCAGCCCATCCTCCAGTGCAGCCTGCAGCACCACTACCTTTTGTGCCTCCTGCACCAACTCCGTCGGTTCCACCACTTGGTACTTCTGGGCCACCTGCTGTTTCTCCATCAATTGCTGCTGCCTTCACCAGTCCTCCTTTATCCCACTTTCCACCTTCAACTTCTGCCCCAAGTGCTCTCTTACCTGCACCCGCTTCTGGTCCTCCTATATCAGGATTTTCTGTTGGTACAACTTATGATATTACAAGGGGACATGCAGGAAGAGCTCCCCAGACACCTCTGATGCCCTCATTTTCTGCACCTCCAGTAACAGGTAGTTTTCTCTTATTAATGCTTTGAAATATATGGCTATAGTAAATGTTTTATTCTTTTTAAATTTCCAGCCTTATTGAAATACAGTTCATATAAACACTAATTTTTGTTTATTTACAAAATTTTGTATACATCGCCATTATTCATTTCATAATCTTTTATCACCAGAAAAAGAAACTTCATATCTGTTAACAGTGATTTTTTTTTTAATGGGTTTGTGTATTCTGGGCATTTCATATAAATGGAATCCTGTATTAACTGATCTTTCTGACTAGCATCAGTTTAGCTGAAAATAATTTCAAGATTCGTGCATTTTGTAGCATATGTCTGTACTTCATTCCTCTCATGGCCGAATAATAGATCTAGTGTATTTTGGTATGCAGTTCATCAGTTGATGTTAGGTTACTTCCATGCTTTGGCTATTTAGATAATGCTGCTAAGAAGTTTTTGTTCAATTTTTTGTGGGGACATGATCCTTGTCATATTCTGCCTGTTGTTTCTCATTTTAGGGAAAATAAACAACATTGCTGTGATTTTTTTGTTATCCAACTTTGCTTATCTGCCTTTAAAAACAAAATTTATTACAGAGTACAGGTATTATACCCTTGTCTGTTTATGTGAATTTTATTTTTGTGTTAAATTGAAGTATATGTACTGATTGTTATGTTTTTTTAATGATGGGCTTGTTGCCCAATTATTTTTGTGGATTAAGGAGATTAGAACTACAGCTGTCTGTATCCAAGTGCTAAATGGGACAATCATGCAAAACTTTAATATATATGTGTGTGTGTGTGTGCACATGTGTGTGTATTTGTCCTTTTTTAGGACACTTGGTGTAAGCCTATGTAAAGGGAAAGAAATTTTTTGCAATTGTATAACTTAATCTTGAAATGCTTAATTGTATGGTTACATTATTAAAATTGTTTTAAGCTACTTCTTTGCTTTGTCTTGTTACAGGAACAAAGTTTGTGGAATAAATTAACATATTAAAATTTTTTCCATTGAATAGGTATTTTGCCAACTCCTATTTCTCAGCAAGCTAGTCTGACATCTCTGGCACCGGGAACTGGAACCACATCAGCCATCACTTTCCCAGAGGAACAAGAAGATCCTAGAATTAATAGAGGTCAGGATGAAGCATCTGCTGGTGGAATATGGGGTTTTATTAAGGTAAGGAATATTTACTTTAAAATTATATTTAATTTTCTAATTATAAAACTGATAGGTGTTCATTAGAGAAATTTTTTTTTTTATTGTTGGTYGTTCAAAACATTACATAGTTCTTGATATATCATATTTCACATTTTGATTCAAGTGGGTTATGAATTCCCATTTTACCCCGTATACAGCTTGCAGAATCACATCAGTTACACTTCCATTGATTTACATATTGATATACTCATGTCTGTTGTATTCTGCTGCCTTTCCTATCCTCTACTATCCCCCCTCCCCTCCCCTCCCCTCTTCTCTCTCTACCCCCTCTACTGTAATTCATTTCTCCCCCTTGTATTATTTTTCCCTTTCCCCTCACTTCCTCTTGTATGTAATTTTGTATAACCCTGAGGGTCTCCTTCCATTTCCAAGCAATTTCCCTTCTCCATTAGAGAAATTTTTAAAGTACAGAATTCATAAGGAAAGAATAAAAGTCCTTTTTCTTATGAGTTTTCTGTGGTTGCTATAATCTGATGTTTGTACATATTTATGAATATTTGTCTATTCTGTTAATTAAAATCAAATAGATAGTGATGTGGGTATTATTTTGTGTTTTTTTTTGTTTGTCTTTACGTAGTAGTTATCATGAACATTTTCCCATCCATAAAATATTCTTCAGAAGTGCATTTTAATGGCTACTTTATATGCATTATATTGCATTTACTTCCCATTTGTTATTTTACAGATCTAATACTGACATTCTCTAATTGTAATTTTTGAAAATTAGGGAGTTAATTTTAATTCAGAAATAAATTATACAGATTTATCATATACAGTATGATGTTTTAAAATATGTAGGCATTGTAGAATAACAGAATTAAGTCAGTTAACATGTGTTATTTCACATATAATTTTATCGTGAGAAAACTTGAAATCTATTCTCAGTGATTTTTCAAGAATCAACCCATTGCTGTTAAGTATAAGTCACCATGTTGTATAGTTTCTCCTAATTGTAATTCTTATCGATAAAACTATGATGAGCATTCTTGTATGTAAATCTTTATGGTTATCTCTGTTTCATTTTCTGGTCAATGTTCAAGTAGACATTTTAAAAATCATGTATTATGCCAACATACATTGTTCAGCATTTTTCATTTGGCAGCACTAGTTGTTAATTTGAAATAGAGTATTTTATGATTTAATAGGCAAAAAATTTCAAAACCTCATTTTAATTTGTATTTCTTTGCTAGGTACTGAATTTGAACATATTTTCTTGAGATTTTTTGCCACTTTTTTTGGCGAATTCTTTGTTCATTTTTTTTATTTTTAATTTGTGATAACTTTCTTTTCTCTTGATGAATTTGTAAGAATTCCTAAGGTTTGTTGTTGTTGTTGTTGTTTTGTTTTTGGTACTGGGGATCCAACCCAGGACTTCATACATGCCAGGCAAGCACTCTACCACTGAGCCACTTCCCTAGCCCATATCATATGTTGCAGTATTCTTTATTTTAATTTTATTATCCTTTTTGACACAAAGTTCTTAAAATTTTAGGAGTCATTTCTGTACATCTCTTTTCAATTTTACGTTTTTATGCTACAAAGAAAAAAAGACCTTTTCTTAGCCATAATATTTGATGAATGTTTTTCTTTGATATCTTCTAAGGTTTTTATCATTTCATTTTTTACATCTGTTTAATATAGCCAAAAGACTTTACTATATGAGGTAGAGCTCAAACAATTATTTTTCAGCTATTTAATGGACTGTTTGAACCTCATGTCCCCAATGACTTGATATGTCACCTTTATTTTAGTTACTAAATTGTATGTTAGTGTCAACTTCTAAACTCTATTCTACTCCCTCTGCCTTTCTTTTCAGTATTAGCGTACTGTTTATTTTATTTTGTACATGAATATTAATAGTAGCCATCTTAAACATCTACTGCATTTATCTGTTGTATATTGTTTTAACAAAATACCTAATGCTGTGTACTTTACAAGGAAAATAGGTTTAGGTAGCTTGCAGTTTTGAAAGCTGAAAGTCCGAGATCCAGTGGTTCTATCTGTTTGGTCTCTGGTGAAGGCTTTCCTGGCTGCATCATAACATGGCAGAAAAGTACACGTAGAAGGGGCTGAGCCTGTGGGATGGCCTTGCTTTATAACGACTTGTTCTTACAAGAACTAACTCACTTCATGAAACCAGTATTAATCTCTTCTGAGGGCAGTGCTGTTCTGACCTAATCACCCTGTACTAGGCCACACTTCTAGAAGTTTTACAACCTCAGCTCCACTGCATTGGGAACCAAGTTTCTAGCACATGAGCCTTTAGAAGACAAAACACATCAAAATCATAGCATCTACCAACTGCTGAATGGATTGAAAAATTATATATCCATACAATGGAATACTCCTCAGCATTGGATTCTTCCAATAACAGATGAATTTCAAAAGCATTATATTAAGTGAAAATTAAGCCATATTTTATTTCATATATGACACCCTAAATAAGGCAAAAAACAGAAAGAAATTAATACAGTGTTTGACAAAGGATAGGGTAGGGACAGGGGTCCCAAGAAGATGTTATATGGGAAAAGATCTAGCACAGTGATAAATAACATCATGGGCTAATTTAACTCTAGGCTCATTTATTATACTAGTATATATTGAAAGCCTGCTGTGTGCTGAGATGGGCATGGGGGGCATTCAGTGATGCATACGATAGAGAGGGCAGTTAAAGTCTCTCCATTCAAAAATATGTCAGTATTCAGTTGCATAAGCTCACTGATTTGTCTTCAAATGTTGTGTCTTATCTGTGCTTATTGAGACAAAACATTAATTGTTGGTCTTTCCCACTTATTTTTATCAATGAATTTTGGAATCATTCTGCCAAATTACTCCCAATATTCTGAAGTTTTTTTTTTAAACATATGTTAAATATTTTTTACATTGGTAAGTGATTCAGTGAAATTTTACATTATTTAAGCTTCATGTTTTATGACTGGTGGTGTTCAGAGCTTCCTTTTTAAAAAAATATTTTGTAATTTAAAAGTTTTCTTTGTGGGCTGGGGCTGTAGCTCAGTGGCAGAGCACTCGACTAGTATATGTATGAGGCACTGGGTTCAATCCTCAGCACCACATAAAAAATAAACAAAAGGCATTCTGTTCATCTACAACTACAAAAGAATTTTTTTAAACTTTTCTTTGCATAGAGACTATAACTATTTTATCCCTTGCCAAGAACGTCTCTCTTTCCACTCGTCATCCCCAGCTTAGCTCTTCAGGGCTTGGAATAGTAATAGCTCATGGTTCCTAGCATGCAGTTGGTAGGTAGTCTTAAATTTCAGTCTCAGGAACTCATCTTGTTCTGAGTTGCCTTAGTTTAATGGTAAGTTAGGAGAGGGGGCATCTGACTTATTACTCAGATGCCATCTAAGGAGGCACTGCTTCCTCAGGTGCTTTCACTCTTGGAGAAGCAGAAGGAAAGAATGGGCCCTGAGATGTGGTTCCTCAGCCTAACAGTGTGGTTCTAAGACTCCAGAGGAAGAGGTCTGGCTGAGAAGAGAATGGGAATGAACAAAATGAGAAACTGGAAGTAGGAAGAAAGGAAACTTTAAAAGAATATAGCTAAATGTTATATGTTAAAGTAATAGGGAACCATTCAGGGGGATGCAAATGAAAAGTGTTTTTTGTTTTTTTTTTTTTTTTTTACTATTTTTGTGTATTAGGGAACAGAGTATGGATATATATAGACATCAGATTCCAGTCTGTATTTGAGAACCTGAGGGATGTTTCATCTAATATTTTAGGTAAATAAGTAGAGATGAAGTATAAAAATATATTTATAAATAAAATGTACATAGAATATCATACATTCCAGGCCAGGGCTATTCAAAATGTGGTCTGAAGATTGCTGCTAGTTTACACGCAGCTATGGATCTGTGATGCCAATGGGAAGAGAACTTGAGAGGACCATTTAGAAATATTAATAATAACAATTTCCATTGCTCCAACCTCATTTTTTAATATATAAATATTTTTTAAAAGTTCTGGTCTGGGATGCATTGTAAACTTAAAAATTTTCCTCACAGTCAAAAAAGTTCATGATATTCTTTGTTTTGAATGAGTATCTATGAATTATTTGTTATTATCTATGTACTTATTTGTTTCATGCAGGGTGTGGCTGGAAATCCTATGGTGAAGTCTGTGCTTGATAAGACAAAACATTCAGTAGAAAGCATGATTACAACGCTGGACCCTGGCATGGCTCCATATATTAGTATGTATATAAGTTAAACGTATCTGCCATGTTTTAAAGTGTACATAAATGTCAGCCACTAATTGTAATTCTCAGTTCATTTCCATTGGTCATGTAATCAGTGGACATTCCTCTTATATTCTTGTATTAAGCTGTCCATCTTAGCTTTGGTGCTATTAATTCACCCTTTACTTAGTTACCATTAAACAAGTTTTGAAAACTCCACAGAATAGACTGTAAAAACAATATGAATTTTTAGTGTCATTACTTACTTTCTTAAAAATATAAATTAGTACTGCTTTGTATTAATTTGTTTTATTTTATTCACTGTTGACATTTGAAGTGATGCTTTTGTTTATACTTGGTTTGGGATTTTTTCCAGTTGTTTTAGATAATGTATGTATGCTTAAGTCAAGAATAATATTTTTAAGGATGCTAATCTAGTTATTAATAATAAATGTTTACTAGGTTTGTTGGGAGAACTATTTTAAATGCCTTTAAGCTCCTATCACCAAGAATCCTTCAGACAGTTGGCATAGAGATACTCTCTATTATTTAGCTTTTGTATACATATTCAGTATGTAAAGTAATATCTCTTATCTAGGTCAGTAACCATTATTAGTAATCCTATAGAAGATCTTTTGCAAACCAGAGCTTTATTACAGGTACTCAAACAGAAATTTGTTTGTTTATATTTTTTATTATTTTTAATAGTTATATGTGACAGTAGAATCTATTTTTGATATAATTATACAATCACAGAATATATCTTATTCTAATTAGGGTTCCAATCTTGTTGATGTACATCATGGTAAGATTCACTATGCTGTATTCATATAGGTACATAGGAAAATTATTTTTAGTGTTAGTATAAAATCAAGAGCATTCACTGGTCTTAACTCTGTTGTTAGTTCACTGTCTAGTACATGTCAGTGGACAAGACCTAGCAATGATTAAGTACCATTTATTGAATACTTATTCTGCCAGGTACTAATTCTCATAAGAGTTCTGGAAGGTAGGTATTTTTCTCAAATTTTAGGTCAGGAAATTGAATTCAAAGATGTGTTAGTAATTATTTTGGGTCACATACCCATAGCTTGGTGAAGCTAGATTGAATCCAAGTTTAATTGTTTACATTTTAGCCACTTTGCTTCCCTTGAAGTAGAAAATTCAATCAAAAATTAGACCAAAAACAATGAGAAATTATACCCCATCTGATTCAAATGTATGATATGTCAAGATCATTGTACTGTCATGTGTAACTAATTAAAACAAATTAAAAAAAATAAAAGAATGGCATATATAAGAAAAATAAATAAATAAAAAATAAAATAGTGCTGAGATATATCAAGTGAAAATACAAAGGCATCTCATAAGAACTCCTAGAAGCCAAGAAACCATGACAACATAGCTAATTTTGTATGTCCCTTTCTAAAATAAGCTGACTCATTGTGGAATGAAAAAAGTTGTCTTGTGATAATTCTCTGAATTAAATTATATCAAATAAAAAGTGCCTATAAAACTTTAAAAAATTAGACCAATTCAGTTGTTCTTTATGTTTCTAACAGTCCAAGAATTGAGAAGTTTGACTCTCTATATATTTGGTTTTGTATATTCGTAATAACCAGTTTGACATACTTAATGCATTATATGTATTCTTTTCTTCAGAAGTATGTATTTTGAATGAAGGAAAGAAATGTATATTTTTGGAGCTTTTGCTATTTTAATGGATGTAGTCCATGTTAGACTGTGAAAGCAATTATTTAATCCTTACAGCAGGTGGTGGCAGGTAGTTTTCTACAAAGAAACAAGCTCAGTGACTTTCCCAAAGTAACAAAGCTGATAAATGATAAAGCCAGGACTCCAACCCAAGATAATTTCTCAAACCAGTAGTCTGCACAACATCAAGAAAAAGGCATAAAATCAAAGGCAGGGGTCGTGAAGAAAGATATAGAAATGAAATTTCTGTTATTATGACAACATATAATTAGTTACCTTTAATATGTGATACAACAGTGTGTAAAAGCTGACACTTTACTGACAGCAAAAGCAATAATACCATTCTGATCTAACAAAACTCAATAAAACTTATGGCATTTTTACACAAATATGTTAGAAATCACTTGATATAAAATTTCAAATATATCAAAGAAATCACAAGAACTGTGAGATTTTAATTGCCTCCAAATTGGATCTTTCTAAATTCCTTTAACTAGTTCTCTCTTTATTATCATTAAAGACAGGGCCACTCATCACAAACTGAAAAGCCTTTGAGCTGCAGCTGAATGGATCAGTATTTAGTGATAGTCAAGATATGTCAATTATATTGATCTACTGTGTGCATGTGCGAATATGTAATAATGAATTTCACTATTATGTATAATTATACTCATCAATTTAAAAAAATGACATGTCCCACGTGGAAGAAAAAGTGAGAAAGGAGTGTTTATTCTTCTCTTTGCTATGTGACCCTTTGCTTGTAGGTTCTGATAACTGCTGAAATTCCAAGTTGAGAAGTGATATGTGGAATATTACATAATCAAGGAGAAGGAGTCTTTGATAAAAAATAACCTTCAATTGTTCCACAGATGTTTAGTTGGAAAAAATAGCCTTGCTTTTGAGGCAGATGTTTTATTTACAAACATCTTTCATGAGATATCTCTTTTACCAAGGATAGCCATTAATGGCTATTAAATATCAGAATATACTGTGCTTAGAACCAGGCTTTTGAATTTACCATGCTGGTTGATCATCACTAATCTTGAAATCTGAAGTCAAAATGCTCAATCTGACAGTCTTTGAGTACTGTTGTGATGGCACATGTGGAAGATTCCACATCTGACCTGTGATAGGTCACAGTCAAAATGCAGACTCACTAAAAATAGTATACCTTCCAGCTATATGTATAGGTGTATATGGAACAGATATGAATTTAACGTTTAGACATGGATCTGTCTTCAGAATATCTCTTTAGGTATATATAGGTAAATACTACAAAATCTGAAAAATTCGGAAATCCAAAACACTTCTAATCTCCAACATTTTGGATAAGGGATAATACTCAACTTGTATCACAAAATATTAGATTAAGATTTTTTAAAATAATGAAACATACTTGGTCAAATAGTTATATTTAGAAACAAAGCACAGGGTTTTAAAAATTAATTTATTTATTCTAATTAGGTATATATGACAGCAGAATGCATTTTGATTCATTGTACACAATTGCAGCACAACTTTTCATTTCTCTGGTTGTACATGATATAGTATCACACCACATGTGCAGTCGTACATGTACCTAGTGTGATAGTGTCCAGCTCATTTTACCATCATCCCTGCCCTCATATCCTCTCCCCTCCACTTTGCCCAATTACAGTTCCTCCATTTTTCACATATCCTACCCACCCCCCTTATGGATCAGCATCCACTTATTAGAACATTTTTGGGATTGGCTTACTTCACTTAGCGTATTCTCCAACTCCATCCATTTACCAGCAAATGCCATAATTTTATTCTCTTTTAATGCTGAATAATATTCATTGTGTATATATAGCACAGTTTCTTTATTCATTCATCTATTGAAGGGCATCTAGGTTGGTTCCATAGTTTAGCTATTGTGAATTGAGCTGCTGTAAACATTGATGTGGCTGCATTACTATAGTATTCTGATTTTAAGTCCTTTGGGTATAGACTGAGGAGTGGGATAGCTGGGTCAAATGGTGGTTATATTCCAGGTTTTCCAAGGAATTTCCATAGTGCTTTACAGATTGATTGCAGCAATTTGTGGTCCCACCAGCAATGTAAGAGTATGCCTTTCCCCACAAATCCTCTCCAACACTTATTGTTTTTTGTATTCTTGACAACTGTCATTCTGAATGAAATGAAATCTTAAGAGTAATTTTGTTTTGCATTTCTCTAATTGCTAGAGATGTTGAACCTTTTTTCATATATTTGTTGATCGATTGTGTATCTTCTTCTGAGAAGTGTTTGTTCAGATCCTTAGCCCATTTATTGATGGGGTTGTTTGTTTAGTTGGTATTAAGTTTTTTGAGTTCTTTATATATCCTGGAGATTAGTACTCTGACAAAAACACAGGTTTTTAGTATAATTGAAAGTTAAAGTATTTGAACTGATGAATAAAATGTGGTATACTCACCTTTTTAAAATTTCAAATTTCATAAATTATTTCGGTTTTCAGATATGCTTAAATATTTGTATTAGGACAGTAGTGCATGTGTAATTTACAAATAAATGTGTGATAAATGCTTTTTTAAAAAATGATGAAGATGTAGAATAAAAAATTTGATGATCCCCATACTGAAACTATTTCTTTGATAAAAAGCATATGTTATGAGAGTTCTTGTTTTTAGTTCATAGTTTTTATGAAACTCTYTGATGCACCACTTGCCATTAGTAATAGTTTTTATTTTCATTTTCTGGAATATCACAAATATATAACTTATACTGCACAAATTGGAAGTTTAAGTCTAGGATTGCTGTATAGTTGAAGGACTGCAAACTGGCAAGCACATGGTATTAGAAGTTTCATATAATAAGTATCTGTTTTTATTAACTAATAACAGAATAATTATTTGTATTTATAATCTTAAAAATGCAATTAATGTCTCCACCCAAATTGTAATTAGAAGAAGCTTAGCTAAATTAGTGTAGTAGACAAATAAGCTGTTTTCATATCTGTTGTGTCATCGAATTCAAATAGATAATCTGTGGAGTACTTTTAGGAACCATTATTAGATGCTGTAAAAGTATTCAATGAACAGATTAAATGTGGGAAGAACTTGGCTAAACTCATGATTTGTGAGATTTCTCAGAATCTCTGCTCTGTCAGTGTGTGTTGTGAATTTCACAGAAGGGGATGCAGTATGCAGTATCTCCCACAGTGTTTGACTACAGAATACTGTTTTCAGGCAAACTACTGTTGTATTCAGGAACATTTCATAGACTACCAAAAAATATCCTAGTTATGGCAGATATGATACTCAGAATTATTAGAAGGTATGTACCATTTAAGACTCCTTCATATACTGTATTAAATTCCTATTTTTAAAACTCAGAAAAAATTAGCAGTTTGGGGCTAATCACATGTTGGAATGAGATGCTCTTATACTTGATTAAAGGATGAAAAATATATCTGGTTATATCAAATGGTGTGGTAAAAAGAGGGTTCAGGTCCTGACATGAGCACTAAACAGCAGTGTTGCCTAAGGCAAGACTTTGTCAGCTTCAGTTTCCTTAGCCATACAAAAATGGTAATTATTTTTATCTTGCCTGGTTTTATGAAGTTGGAGTAATTATGTAAATATTAGCATATGGCATGGTAGTAATTATGAGAATTTCATTATTTTAATTTGGAATTGTAATTTTTTTTTTTTGGTAGAATCTGGAGGTGAGCTGGATATTGTGGTGACTTCAAATAAAGAAGTAAAAGTGGCTGCTGTCAGAGATGCCTTTCAGGAAGTCTTTGGTTTAGCTGTGGTTGTAGGGGAAGCTGGACAGTCTAATATTGCCCCACAACCAGTGGGCTATGCAGCTGGATTAAAAGTGAGTAAAAACACCTTTTTCAGGTTATGGAACCTTTCAATTAATTTTTCATCATTGTGATAATGATGTTGTGGTTTATATGGAGCTAATTGTGTTTTTATAATGATGTTGAATTAATGATTACTTTTAGTTAGAAAATTCTTAGGTATATTGAAGATATAGTGGCGTTTTAATTTAAAGAAATCTAAGATAGGTTGTAATTATTGGTGGAAGGAATGAAATATACTCAGCACAAAGAGAGTCCCAAAAGAAATCTTTAAAACTTAGTAACAACATTCAGATCAGCACCTAGAATTATAATATATATTGAATCTCACAAATTTCTTATTATTAGTATTAATAATCCTGAAAATGTTAAAGTTCCAGGAATTCTGCACTCTCCTCTTTAAGTTCTTTTTTCTTTGGTCTCTATTGTACTGTTACAGATAAATAGTGGCATACAAGCGTCTCTCCCAACTTAAAAAAGAAATAAGCCAAAGGAAGCACCACCAAATTCTTTGACCTCATTTGCCCTATACCCTACTACTTAAATTTGCTTTCTTTGAGAGTTGCCAACACTTTTCTCTAATTCTTCTCTTGCAGTCTCTTAAACCTGCCCYGAGCAGGTGTTTGCCTGCATCACTCCCCTGACAGTTCAGGGTTCTCCATKCTATTTGACTTACCAGTGGCTTTCTAGACAGTTGTTTCCATCTCTTTCTTATTTTTTTTTTTTCTCACTTGTCTTCTTGATACCACACTTTGGCTTCCTGGTTCACTGTTTCCCTGATGTTTCTGTGCCTCTTCTCAGCCTCTTCTTGGTCCTCTTCTCTGTCTACTCCCTTAGTGATCTCCTACCTTTCTTGATCTTAAGCCTCTTAGGTGTACCAGTAGTTCTGTTTCTGTCTCCACTGAGACCTAAGTCCTAATTTATATAAAACTTGCCCTTTGGATGACTTTCTTGAATATCTTAAATTTAATGCCTACAATTAAACTATTTCTGTCCCCTAGACTTGCTTTCCCACTCATCTCTGTCTCAATAGATGGCATTTATATCCTTCCATTTTCTTAGGCAAGAAACCTTGCAATCATTCTTAGCTTCTCGTACTTCTCATTTATAATTCATTAAGAAATCTTGTTTGTGAGACAGATAGTTCTTGGCTTTTGTTCTGGTTATGTCTTAGGAGGTTGCCTCAGACACTGAATTAGGGCATACTGAACCATTGTTTGCAAGGGAAATATAGGATTACATTTTTGCCAGCCTATATTTTTTGTGCTCTGTTTAAATACATCTTTGTATACATGTTTTTGGTGTTTTTTGTTTTGTTTTGCTTCATTATGTTGAAATGTTATAGGCAACAATACTGTAGCTCATGCTTGAATGAGATTTATTTAATACACACATTTTCTCCATGAGGTATATCACAGCCTCCTTGTGCTAAGGAACACTAGGCAGCATATAGCACTACACTTGGAGGCCATTTGATACAGAGAGATCAACAACAAGCACAAAAATGCCAAACCAAGGCACTGATAGAGAAAAAGACACTTGTTTCCAGTACACAAACTGAAACAAGAAGGCACAGATAGTATTCCTTGTTCATGTAACTGAAAATGTGAATATTGGGAAATGTGCATATCAGACAATTCAAATTTCTTGTGCTTCTGCGTATGTCTGATTTTGAGATAACAAATACATTCTAGTGATGAGTAAAATTCACCAATACAGGATTCACAAATAATGAGGATAACTGTATTTGCATTTAAGGAGAAATACATTCTGGTATGACATGCTGGCCATAAGGAATGTATAATAGTGTGCATTACTGAGACCATCTGAAAGCCACTTTACCTTATTCACTCTCTTCATAACAGAATGAGGTAAATAGCATAGCATATTTCAAGTTTTGATTATAATTAGCTACTAAATATAATTAGCCCACATTGATACTAGGTTATTTTAAATTGTACTGGATAGTGCTTTATGAATTTGAGGTACTTTTTCATGTTTAGTACTTTATTTGAATAGAATATGAAGCCCTTTACATGCCCCCCACCACCCAAAATCACTTTTCTGAATTTGAGGCTGTCAGGTAATGGTTACATTATATCTAAATATAGTGCATTATATACAATACAAATCAGATTACTTTTCATAATTCTCTGTTCTTACAGAAGAATGCTGTGGAGAATACATGCACTTTGAAATGTTTCTACTTTCTGGGGGATTTCCCTTGAACTTGGCTTTCACTACACATTTTCAGTTAGAATTTCTATGGTGCTAGAGGTTTACTCTTTATAAAATATAGCAAAGCTAACTGTGGACTGTGGGGTTTGTCTTCAATCTAATTTTGAAAAAAGTATGGTAAGTTAAATTTGTATACATAATAATTGTACATTTGATCAGTTGTGCACAGGTAAATATTAACATTGTAAAAGATTATATTTACTTTAAAGATGCAAGTCACATACCTAATACTGAGTTTGTACTTGCCAAATTTTAAGAGTGCTTTTGCAAATTAGAAAGTATTAATGATCTGAGAAGGAAGACTTTTCCAGATTTACTTTTAGAGAGGATAACCTGGATAAAATCCTAAAATAGAAACAGGTTATTGAACAAAGAAAATGGTAAGTACATTTCTTTGAACTTAGAGACTAAAGCAAGGGCTTTGTGTATTGTGAAGTACTATATAAATATGGAGGACAGTATTGGTATTACATAGGTGTGATGGCAAAAAAAATTTATTCATTTAATTCTCTAGTAGGGTTATTTGAATCTGGGAGATTAGAACTTGCCATTGTTGTATTAAGCAGTGAGAATGTATGGCTTTGGGTTTCAAGGCAAAGGTGGTGAAGACTGTAGGGGTTAGAGTAAGAATAGATGCTGAGATTGCAGGCATTCAGAAAGATGATTGGGTACTGAAGTATGAGCTTGTCACTGGGTAAAAGAAAGGTTGCAAATATACATATTTAAGAAGATAAAATGTATTAAAGATGGAGACGGGGACAGTTTACAAAATTTAGCAGCATAAAAGAATATAAATTTAGAAAAATTGATCATGTAGAAAGCCTGCTTTTTCATTGTGATTTTTAATGGGTCTTAAGTATTTTGTTTCATTAGATATTATTACACACAAGATACTTTAAAGAGACACTGAACTTGAAAGGCCGATAGGGAGTTTTTCCTCAAGAAAAACCTTATTTGAGAGTATTATTGGTAGTTTGGTTTGTTTCATGATTTTATTCATATTTGACAGATTTACTTCTGCTCTAAAGTTTTTGCCTTTAAAATTTAGATTTTTTTTTCACAATCTTTTAAATAAATAAAGTTGTGGCTGTGGCTCAGTGGTAGAGCACTTGCCTTGTATATGTGAGGCACTGGGTTCAATCCTCAGCACCACATAAAAGTAGATAAATAAAACTAATATTTTTATTAATTTGTCAGTTTGTTGTTGTTGTTGTTGTGTGTGTGTGTGTGTGTGTGTGTGTGTGTGTTAGAAACAAAGGGAGCTAATGAGAAAAAAAATTAATGTAGAATCTTAAAATACAAAACTTAACCAGTTTGTTTTTTCATCCTATCAGATTTTATTTGAAGTGAGTGGTTTCTCTGAACTAAACTTAATTTGCCCCTTTAAATATATGAAATAATTTAAGGAAATGAATCAATTCAGCCCAAATTAAAGTTAGGAAGTTTCTGAAACTTCTATGCCAGGTATTAGTTTTATCAAAAAGCAAATCATAGCTATGATCAGTGTTTCATAGCTTATTTTCAACAAATAAAGATATAGATAATACCTAGAAGCCATTTCAAGATGTGTAAAAGTATAGTTACTTATCTGAACCAAGTTGCCTAGTATAAATTCTCAGAGTACAATGTAAGCTCTAGGACCCTTCTGTTTCATAGCTCAGTTTGATGATTATTTCATTGTGAGCTCTAACTTACCTAATTATTGATCCCTCCTACAATATAAAATTTCATTCTTAAAACATTTGTAAAGAATGATTGATGTTAAAGTATCTTGCAATTCCAATGAAAGAGGCCAATTTAATTAATGTAGTAGTCAGAGGAAAAAAAAAAAAAGGCCAGATATGACTTCATTTTCATTTTCTCTTTTGGACTCCACAAACAAAAAAAGAATTAAACTTTTCTGCTTAGTTTATCATCTTATAGCTTGCAGGTACCAATTAATTTGGTGAATATTTTGTGAATCATATTAAATATAAATTCTGCACTGTGGGATAGTAAAAAGTGAAGAGACAGTCTCTATTCCCTGGAAGCATGATATCTAGGTTTGATGATGCAAAATCCCACTAATCTATTAGTTTTTTTTTAATTAACATGTACTTGAGTTTCATTTCTTTTCTTTCTTTTTTTTTTTTTGTATGTGTGTGTGTTGCTGGAAATTGAACCCAGGGCATTGTACATGCAAGGCAAGCACTTTTCTACCAACTGAGCTATGTCCCCTGCCCTTAAGTTTTTTATCAATGAAGAATCTAGCCATAGCTCCTTCCTGAGATGAGTGAATTAGGGAAATTTATAATATCTACTATAAAGAAATAAGTTCATCTTACCTATTATGTTTTTTTCAGAGTCAGCAGTTGCCTCCTTATTTCAGTGTCATTAGATTTAATGGCATTGTATTTATACTATTTATATACTGAACATTTGCCACCTAGGCCTTGGGAAGCCTTTATTTTCTTTTCCTTTAGTTTAGTTTTTCATGTAGCAAATTCTTACTTGAATGCCTGTTAGGTTAGGCTCTGTGCTAGAGCAAGCAAAAGTATCTGGTCTTGATTTTATTGTAGTTTAAATAATTTCTTTTTTTTTATTTTTTTCTTTTTTATTTTTTAATTTTTTTTATTGGTTGTTCAAAACCTTACACGGCTCTTGACATATCATATTTCAGACATTAGTTTCAAGTGAGTTATGAACTCCCATTTTTACCCCAAATACAGATTGCAGAATCACATCAGTTACACATTCACCTTTTTACATAATGCCCTATTAGTAACTGTTGTATTCT